GCCATGCCCGGGGGTCATGCCCGGCCGGTCACCCGGTCGCCAATCCGGGCGTGACATCGGGACCCAGGTGCCCGGAATATCTCCCTAGAAAAAATCCGAAAAAAAACTATGTTATGCAGGAAAATAAACTGAACAACTTTTGCCTCAGGGTCACATCGACATTCTTCACCAAATTAAGAATAAAAAATAAATTTTAAAATATTGTTTTTATTTTTATTTTTTTGGCCCGGCCGGGCAAGTGACCCTGATAGGCAAATCTAACCTTATACTGTCGCTGTGGTCTACCCCTGCGTCCAGATCTGTAAACATCTTCCCCAACAATCCTATCCACATCATATTTACCATCCATATCGGGGGAATCATAGATCTGCGTGATGGAAACATGTCATTACTAATGCAAGGCAATAACTTTGAAGCGTGGAACACCGGATACGTGTGCAAATGTGGAGGAATCTCAACAACATAAGGACCATCTACATCACCAATCACATCAAGAATCTGCCAGGGTCCTCGATATGCAGGCAATAACTTCTGAGAAATGTTTTCCTCAGGAAGAAACTCTTTTGACTTCACCCAGACTAGATCACCTACAGCAAATTGCTAAGGTCTGCGATGCTTATTAGCCTCTTCTATCATCTGATGCTGTGCCTTACTAATGTTCTCCTTAACTTTTTCCAGGTCTTTCTGATATTGGACAGCGAATTCCCTGGTTCCTGGTGGAAGTCTCAGTACTTGATCAGGGTTTAGACAATCAACGGGTCTACGTGGGCGCCATCCGAGATGTAGTTCAGTCGGTGTTCTAGATGTAGCTAGATGCACGGAGTTATTATAGGCACTCACAACCTTCGGCAGATGTTCATCCCAGTCAATCTGATCTGGCCGGATGTACATGCGCAACATTTGCTGCAACAGCTTGTTCATCTGCTCAGTTTGTCCGTTTGTCTCAGGGTGTCTACCTGGAGACAGTGTCACAGTTGCTGCCACTGATCTCCTGTGAACTGCGAATCCCTATCACTTACAATAATCAAGGGATGCCCAAAATCTTTCACCCAATGGTTAAAGAATTCCCTAATCACCAATTCAGTTCTTGCTTCTCCAGGAAGTGGAACAAACACAGCAAACTTGCTAAACCGGTCTACTATAACCATAACCTGACTTTTTCCATTTCTGCTCTTTATCTTAGTGTCCAAAAAGTCTACAGACACGGAGTCCCCGGGTCCCGACAGAATAGGTAGCGGTCTAAGTAATCCAAGGGGAGGCTGTGTGGAACTTTTGTTCCTTTGACAAACCTGACAGCCTTGCACATAGGAGATGCAATCATGCTTCATTCCTGGCCACGTGTAGGAGCAGAGGAGGTTAGCATAAGTCTTCCTCCATCCGAAGTGCCCCTCAGTATCGTGGTTTTTATGCTACGAATTTCCTCGCTGTTTGGAACACACAGTCGGTCATGGACATCTGTTTTTTCAAACAGCAGTCCCTGTGTTATCCTATAATCCGGGACTTCATGAGGTGCCGCCTGCACCTTGCCAATCAACTGGCTATACACCCGATCTCTTGTGTAAGCAGACTTAATCTTTTCTTATAGGTCGATGATTGTATCTAAGTATGTGACAATGGCACCCAAAAAGTCAGCCTTTCGACTCAATGCGTCAGCGACAACATTGTACTTACCCTTTACTGGCTTCAATTCAAAGTCGAACTAATCAATCTCCCCAGCCCACCTAGTCAATTCATGATCTGAGTAAACTTTAAAGTGGCGTCCTAGCAGATAATGTCGTCGGTGATTCAATGCTTCCCAATAGAGCGAATAACTCCCTCTCATAGGTAAAAGCGGCGACCTTTTTACTAGGCAGTCTACAGGACAAACTCTACAGGCCTATACACATTCCCATCGTCTTGTTGGAGTACAACACCAATCCCGTATTGACTGGCGTCAGTGGTTACGATAAAAGGTAGAGATGGGTCTGCAACTTTCAACACCGGATAATTAATCAAACACTCTTTAAACGCTTGAAGGACGTGGTACAATCCTGATCCCATTTCCAGACTGTTTCTTTCTTTAGCAATCTTCGCAATGGGGCAACAATTACCGTAAAGTTCCGAACAAACTTGCGGTAATAGTTGGCCAGACAAAAAACCGAGTGCAGTTCCGTCAACGTGCGCGGGTTGGGCCAATCTCTAATGGCTGCAATCTTAGCGTCTTCCGGTTTAGTCCCGTCACTGTCTACCATATGTCCTAAGTAAAGGACCTGACGCTTTGTCCACTCACACTTCTTCGGGTTAATCTT